GGCTTGTTTTACAACGTCGTTGCCAAGCGACGAAAACACAACCCCGATGGCAACCACCCGAGGGGGCGGCTTGTTTTACAACGTCGTTGCCAAGCGACGAAAACCCAACCCCGATGGCAAACACCGGGGGGTGGGTGGAGGAACGTGGGGCATGAAAATATATCAAAAGCCCTGGTGTGTGTAATGCTGGATGGTTGTAGTTGTACAAAAAAATACTCTGGAAAGTGTAGCACTCTTCATACGCTGAAAAAGTGGTAGTACACGACTCACCACGAAACATGGGGGGACTGTCGCCATAAATAGGACGAAAACATAGTCTACACACACACAAGGCACGTTGGCTGGGACTGTTGTCTGTACACCCGGAATGCTACAGCAATAACGCGATGACTTCGTTTTGCTTCGCGTTTCTTGTGACAGATTTGGTCTCGAATATCGTGCTAGCAGTACCGGTCGCCCCGGTGGTCTAGTGGTACCCTCGTAATCCGCTAATTTAGTCGCAGAGGTCGTGAGTTCGAATCCTCGCGGGGTGAATAAGTTTCGAAATGTGCGCGTGAAAGTGAAATGTAGCTGACAAGCTCTCGTGAGTACTAAACTTCGACGTTAGCACCGTTGACGAGGGAAAGGGACGGATGGACCCTTCTCGCGATAAAAATAAATTCAGCACGCACCGCAGGAGGAAGGTGGGGCATGACAAGAAAAAAAAAAGAAGTAGAAAGCCCTGGTGTTTACCCCCTCCTGTGTGACCCTGGATGGTTGTAGATGTACGAAATAATACACTGAAAAGTGTAGTACACGTCTCACCACGAAAAATGGGGGGACTNCAAGAAAAAAAAAAGAAGTAGAAAGCCCTGGTGTTTACCCCCTCCTGTGTGACCCTGGATGGTTGTAGATGTACGAAATAATACACTGAAAAGTGTAGTACACGTCTCACCACGAAAAATGGGGGGACTGCCGCCATAATAAATAGGACGAAAACACAACACACACACACTCCGCTCAATCGTAATTGGTTGAATACCTATGTTGTACACAGCGATACAGTCGTGCATGTGGCAAGAGGCGTGGCCAGAGCTGTGACCGAACTCGTAAAAACAGCAGTACTTCACACA